CATCAAAAGGGGATGGGCTACCCATTGGTGTGCCTGAATGCTGGAAAAGTATGCACCACTGAAAGAGGACAAGGCAACTGCATATGCATGGGTCTTGAATGATCTCCAGGTACAATGTTGGACCTGTGTGGTCGGCAAGGACGCAAGCAATGGGTAGTAGTGTCTGCCTCAGAGAGCGGGATGGCAGAGAGGAGTAGGACAAGCTTTAAAAAAAATAGTTTGTTTTTTTTTTTTTAAAGAGACTAGGCTGCGCCCCCTGAGGAATTTTTTTTAAACTGCCTACAATAATCTCATCCCCTTCATGCACAACAGATCTGCTCACTGCCCTAAACTTTCCCCAGTGCACCATGCATCTCCGGAGACTCTTCTCTGGAGACTGCCCATTTTTAAATAGCGAAACTCCCTTCCATTTGGACAGAATTTCACGAAGCTCTTTCAGGGCAATCAGGAAGACTAAGACTTGGGATACCGCACCCTGGCTGCCCTGCGGGTACTGGTTAGAATTCCCTCGGTCCTACGGCAGCTCCACACACCCACACTCCACACAGAGCAAAGTGCGGCCATCGAGGGAGAGTGCCGTGCTCCAGTTCCCCGGCCCAAAGTTGGAATCTCAAAATCCAGACCCAGCACTGCTGCCAGCTAACCCGGAGTTTGTTCTGCCCCATAGGACACCCTATGCCAGGCTGCCTTGCTTAATCTCATTTAATCCTTTAACCAAAAGCATAACTGGCCCATCTCAAATATCCATTCCGACAAAAGCCCCGGCTGGGTGCCCTGGGAGAGCGGAGTCCGGGCTGGCCTGGAGGCGCGCCCCATCTGTGCCCCGAGCATGGTGAGGGTCTGGGAAGCGGTGTCTTTGGGACGACTCGCACACCAGTAAGGAAGGACGGGACAAGATACCTACTACCTCGCCTGGCTCAATTTGCTGGAGCCAGAAAGGGCACTGCTCTCTGTGAAATGCACCAGTTTACTACGGGCTGGCTGCACCAAGCATGCTGGCGGCGCTCCTCTCCCGCCCCCGTGGCGACCAGACCCGTTAACCAGGAAACGAATCTGATGCACTCCAAATCTTCCTATGACAAATGTTTAGAAATTCTTAGTGTTTACTAACTGCCTCGAAAAACACCAACTACGACGTCAAAGGCGGGAAGGAAGGGCACACACAGGAGAGGTGTGTGTGTGACAAAAATGAGGAAAACCAACAGGCGGGCACGCGTTGCACAGACGGGCTGGGGGGCCACTCCAAGGGCATGGATTTTAATTCTGAAGTAGAAGCCCCAGCCTCTGGACACGAACCATCTTGGAACGAGACACACAGTGGGTCTCAGTCGACATTTACTAAGCAAATTCCCTCCCTTCCCCTCAAACATCAGGCTAAAGAAACAGAGGAGAATAAAGGTGGCTCCTCTCTTCCCCTCCGACAAATGCCCAGAAACATTTTGATCAAGCAGCAGTGCGGTGCAAATTTTAAAACCAGCCACAGATAGTAAAGGTGAATACAGAAGGCTGGGGTCACTAACACCCCAACTCTGGCTTGGTACGTGAAGGGGGGACTTTGTGGACCGGGCCCACCGTTCTGAGATAGCGTGTGCGCATCTTGTAAAAAGTAAGATGCAGTAAGAGGCAAGCAGCTCATCTGTACTTCTTTGGTACACAGGAAACAAAGCCCACAGACAAAGCCCTCCGCCGGCGGACAAACATGTCTAGCAGGTGATCAAATTCAGCAAGATGGATTCTGGTCTTGCTGAACGCAGACGCTTAGGCAGAACTCCTGGCTGTTGGTGACAACCCACACCACCGTGACAGCAGCCAAGGGCCCAGGGAGGCCCAGGGAACCGGGCAGCTGGGATGCAAAAAAGGGGAATATGAGGCACCACCTCCAGACCACAGTGCGGGCAGGGCAGGGACACCCCCAGCACCCCTCCCTCAGCCTGGGCGCTTCCTCCTTTGTTCAGGAGCCTTCCAGAGCCAGTTTCCAAGCATCCACCTGGCCTGCCGTCCCCGCCGCGTGGGGCTCACTGTTGCTCAGCAAGGATTTAATCAGTAACCAGCCCAGGAGAGGAGGCTCAGAGAGCAAAGTTCACAGCCAGGCCTGGAGGGGCGTGGGTCCCTTCGGGATCTCCCGACCCAAGGAGGAACCAAAGCAGGCCGGACTCAGGGGTGCGCCCAGCCGGAGCTGCCTGCCAGGGGTGACTGGAAGCCCAGCCTGATGCAGCTGTGATCCTGGACGCCTGGTCTTTATCTTTCAAGATTCAGTTAATTGGATCAGTGTAGACAGACTCCAAAGACACTTTGGGCAAAACAGTGTTTTTGATTTGTTTATTGGTTTGAATCCAGATCAATCACTTTGGGTCTTGTTCCTCAAGCCCACACAATTAACCAAATAACGACCAGACGGTTCTGAGCCAGGCTTAAAACACATGTGATACATGCTTCGCGGAAGACTAGGACCCCGCAGGAAAGGGCTCCGGTGTGCGCAGCTCAAGGCCAGGCCAGGGGGCACTGCACAGGGGCCCTGCTCTAAGGAACAGCACTCCGACTCACCTTTGTTTCATTTGGGCTAACATTTCCCAATAGAGGGCCTGGGCCGCACGCTAAATGCAGGCAGATTACATAATGCCCCGGCCCCAGGAAAACCCCACAGGGCTCCTTTGCTTCCCCGAGAGTCCGGACACCAACCAGGTGTCTCACTATGGGACAAGATCCCAGGTGGCAACCTAAACCCTCTCTGTTCTGGAGGCCACTGCCCCAGCGTGGACACCCACAGCGGCCCCACGTCCACACTCCCAAGCCCTAGGGATCAGGGGAGCCAGGACCACCGCTGCAGCCCCCGGCAGAGCTAGGTGGCAGGCCACCCTTGCCTGCTGACCTCGGTGACGGGGACGACAGGCAGGGACAGGGGACTGTGCCAGCCCATGGGGCACTTCCTTTTAGTTCCTCTTTCCACATCTCCTAACGCCAGAACGAGGCTCCACCAAGACAAAACTTGCCCCACGGATGATCCTCGGTCCTGGGACCGGAAATCACAGGTGCCCTTCCCAGAGGCCCATGTTCCCAAAGGCGATGCCCACCTCAGCTAGCAAAGGTGGGCAGGGGCCTGCTTAAGAACCCAGTGCATGGCTTTGTTCCCCTTCTTCCTGTCTCCCAGCACACCCCTGGGGCAGCCAGGGTAAGTGGGGAGCCTTTCTCCTGTGGAGCTGAGCTCCCCCAAGCCAGGAAGACCAGCAGCCCAGCAATACCCCTAGCTTCTCCCAGAGGAGCAGCGCAACCTGGGCCTGCCAACTTAGGTCCTCTCAACCATTTTCCTCTTCCTCCAACTCCCCTTCAAAGGTGGCAGGAAAAAATAATAAAATTTAAAAAAAAAAAAAAAAGCCCAACAAAGCCCCTCCCTGTACCAGGTGAAAATTTCAAAGCCAGGCCCAGGGGCTCCACAGCCCAGGCAGGGAGGCGCCCAGGCCACCAGGGCCTCTGTGAATCTGAAACCCCCGGTGCTCACTAATTTGGAGAAGCTCTCCCTCCATCTAATGAAAACCCAAACACCAAGGCCTGTGGCTCCAGGCCGGGCTGGAGACATGCACCAGTCTGGAAGCAGGACTAGGCATCTCTCCTCGACCACGGAGCCTGCCTGGAAAAGCAGCCTGCGGAGACTGCACCAGTGTGCCCACAGGAAAGAAAAAACAGGCGCTTTGCTCTGAGCACGTCGGACCCAAAATTCAGAACAAAAGTCCTCGTGGGCTTCAGGGTTCTGGGGTTGGGGAGGAGCAGATCTGGGGAGGAGGATTCTTGGATTAACTTTCCCCCTCCCCATTCCTTGGGGCATGTGTCATGGCCTGTGACACACCACCAAGGGAACATGGATGCCGGAGAAATGTCTACACACGCTACACGTTTGTGACATGCCATGTAAGCGACACTGTTTCCTGGCTGGGCTTTCTTGCACAGGTGTGGGCAGATTCTGCCCCCTCCCACTGTACTTAGTAAACAGGATCACGGGTGGAGGGACGCATTCTAAGCAAGGCGGGGTGGAGGGGCCCTCTGGTAAGAGGAACGGACCCCCACAGCCAGGCTCAGGCCAAGCTGGAGCCTGTATTTGAAACTGTCCTTGTTTCAAAACACAAAGCATCCTGTTCGGGCCCCTAGCCTCCACCCCCACTCTCCCCCTGGAGCCCACCACAGCTGTCTCCCTCCAAGAGGAAGAAGGCCACCATTTGCAGATTCAGTTTCAGCAAGAGATCAGCCGATTCTCCTCTCCCTCTCATCCAGCTGAGCCGGCCCCAGCCACACAGTGAAAAACAATAACCCTAACAAAATAGGACCTCCACGACAAAACAGGCGTATACACACAGGCTGCACACACCCCGGGGAGGACCAGGGCTGGCCGAGCCAGCTCCCAGCCAGAACTTGGCCACCTGGGGTCTGAGATGTTCCAGGACCGTGGCCCCCTCCCCCCTGCCAACCTCCCAATGTGGGAAGATTTTCATAAAGGGAAGCACCCAGTCTTTGCCTGCCAGACAGAGGAAGGAAAAGAAAAAGAAAAAAAGAAAAAAAAGAAAGAAAGAATAAAGGTCCCTAACGCAAAGAAAGGATTCGGTTTTCGGAAATTCTTTGGGTCTGGGGGTTTCAGGATTTTGACGGGGTGGGAGTTCTCCTGCAGCTCAGGTAGGAGCGGGCCTCGGACTTCCAAAAAGGGGATCCCACCACGATCGGGGCCCGGCCTCGCTCCACCCCACGACCCCCACCATCAGAACGCAGGAGCTGGGAGCCAAGGGTCTCCAGGCACCCAGCCCGGATGAGCCAAGTCTCCGGGGTCCTGAGGGCTCCGGAGCCCGGCGGCGGATCCGAGGAGCTGGGGTCCGAACCCAGCCCGGCGAACGAACCAGGAAGGGGGCGCGCGGCTCCCCAGCGAGCAGGCCTGGGCCCCGGGCGGCGCAGGGGGCGCCGGGTCTTGGCGACGGGGGGCGCGCGTGGGAAGCCCCCGGCTACCGCGCAGAGCGACTCACCGTGGCTGACGCCAGGCTGTTGTCGGCCAGCGTTAGGTGGTGCGGCTCCCAGCGCCTCAGGAACTTCGAGGTGAGGATCTTGCTGAGAAAGGTCCGTGGGTGCCGGATGACACAGACCTGGATGTCGCCCTCCTGCAGCAGTTTGTACCTCATCCCGTTGCAGAGCAGGAGGGCCCGGCGGCAGGGCACAGCGCCCATCTTCGTGCCCTCGGGGGCCGGTACGTCGCCCCCCAGCAGCGGCTTGGTCTCCTCGATCTGCCGGGGGTCGCCGCCGCCGCCCGAACTGCTGGTCACATCCATGGCC